GACAAATTATTTTACGGAGACTAAATAACACCAAAAACTCACTATAATAATCCCTGTTTAAAAGATGTTGCCCATGAAATGACAGAGAAATGAAATTTTTCAGAAAGCTTTCTTTTTTAATAAAACTAGTGAAACGACTGGATGGTTTTGACCATGTGAAAACTTTGTATGAATTAGTTTAATTTTTAGTAGTTATTTTTAATTTTGAAACGCTTTCTTTATTATTTTGTTTCAGACCTACGAATCTCTACCAGAATGCGTTTTCAATATTGCATTGTATGTACATGAGATAGAACCAGTATTTAATGGAAAGTTCAGCCACTTACGGAGACGTTCCCACTATAGCGTGTACTGCCTTTTGGCCACTTCTTGATTGAAGCCAATTTTACTACGTTCATCCGTATCCTTACGTGCCTATAGACGCCGATAAGGGCCAACTCGGTTAGTTATTTCTGTACAGCTTTGAGCTAAATATTAGTTAGTTTCGTATTTTCTATCTTAAGTTATAAGGTATTTCTACCGCCGTCTTAGCATGCCTTCGTAGTGTAGTGGTCAACACGCTCGGCGCGTGTTCGAGAGGCCCGCGGTTCGAGTCCCGGAGGAGGCGTTGCTCATTTTCATCTGTCTTGCTTCGAAATATCCTAATGTCTCTACAAAGTGAAAGCCCAAGATGGGCCAACTGTTATCAATCTTTGTATAGAATAAAAGGGTATTTTAAACCTCCTTTGGACTTTGTTTCTATAGTTATAAGAACAGCGAATAGTCGCTGTACTCTTCTCTAGTTCTGGTTGCCATATAATTTAAATGGAACCGTAAAACTTTAATTTTTGAATGCTGTTTGAAATAAGAACGTAACCGAACTTTATCTGAGTAATTAATTATGTAAAATAATACTGAAAATGAAAAATTATATTTAGATTTAAATTTGTTTAGTCTAGACAAATGAGTCTGTTAAAAGAGATTCGTTTGCAAAGACAGTTTAAATATTATGCATTCTAGTGGTGAATTGGTAGAGATTTTATATTTTACAAATAAAATAAAGGCGTATTTAACTTTGCCGCTCAAGTATAAAAACTGCAAGAGAAAGGTTTTAGACTTTTACAAATATGGAAATTATTTTACCAGTTTTTCATCGCTTCTAATTCTAATTCATCGACACAAAAATCTTAACCTTTCTTAGAGAAAGTTAAAAAAGTGCGCAAATGATATTATATAGAAAGAAATTTAAATAGCATGGCAGAATTATGTTTGTAACAGGAATTCTAAATAACATTGATATATATTTGAATGTTTAACAAATTTTCTTGAAATAAATCTGGGAAAATGTATTGATCTTAATTAATTTTTCAAATGAATTAATAATCAGCTATTTGAACTTTAAAATAATTCATGATATGTTTTTAAGGTTGGTCATTTCACATTTCAGTAAAACATTTAGTTATGCGTTATAATTTTCATTTTTATATAGTTTATGCGTGAGAATACTGAAAACTTACTGTAACAAAATTGCCCTTTCATTAAAACCCTAACAATACTATATATTAATAATTACATATTTTTGAAACCTTAAATGTATTAAGTAATATTATGTAATTATGCAATTTCTTCTCACTATAATAAACTTTGAATCCGTTTCTTTCCTATAGCTACGTAAGCACTTGATATTGCAAATTTTACCGTCTAAGGCCGCTCGCTGGCTTAATCAACCACTGTTTGTATTATCTTTTTCATTTCTTTTCGAGGCCGAGCGATAAAATGCGCTGAGCACTGATATTTCGGTTCAGGGTTCGAAATCTGGCGAACGGCATGACTGCATGGGTGTTTTCGTGGTGTTCTCTATGTATAACGTATATATGACGTAGTTCCCCTTACAAAGCCCTCCACGAAAGCATCACTTCCCTAAAGCAGATAGCTCTTGAGTTCTTCGCCGTAATCAAATAAAACAATGCCATAATCAACAAATCCTATGCACCAACAGATATTAAATTCATTAGCTAAACCTTAGATCAGCTAAGGGCTTGTCTCTTGAGTCACGTTATATTGGATGGTTGCCAGAAGACTATCTAAACTACATATTCGCTGGCTGTTTAAATTCAAACTGATTTACATTCTGATGAAGACTAACGAAACAAATATAAGTTACAGAACAGAATTAACCTAAAGTTTTAGTTGAAGGGGAAAAAATATAATTTTAAGAAAATGAATAATTTATTATGGGTGTCAGTGCGGACGTGCTTTCGATGAAAAAAATATTTTAAAAAATGCAGTTGCGAAGGATCAAGTTTTACTCGTTACTTTAATTTAAATAACATCATGACTAACATTCTGCGAAATATGTGATTACAAATAACTTTTATTTTATGAGAATGAGCTAGAAAAACACTGGGGATTTACAGGATGTTTGTTAGTTAATCAGCTTTGTTCTAAATAAGAGTAGGTAAGTAAATAATACGTTTAGTATAAATTTAAAAATTTAATAACAATAAAAAACAGACGCGTGTTTTAAGCGGTGGCAAAAATGCTTAACTAGCGATTAACTATTTATTTTTTAATTTACGTTACTTCTCAAATTATTTCTTTTATATCACAGAAATTTTATACAACCTTTAGTTTATGCCAGGAATTTTCAATATATTAATAGAAGAGATGTATTAAAATTGCAGTCACTAACTTCATATTTAAAAAAATAAAATCTCTTAATATGGAAAGAATGACGCATTCGTTGCTGTTTCAGTTCAAAAGGACCTGGAAAAATTCGTACAGTAAATAACACGTGTGTCATTTTTATGAAAAATAATTTAAAATGTTCTAATTAGTGTAGAAGCTTCTCTTGTTTCTCCTTGGAGGTTTAATTAATAAATGTATTATTACATTCTTGAGCGATGTACATCGTGTATATAATATATATATATATATATATTACTTGAAAGCATGAACAGAATAAGTTTTCAAGGTTTTATTAAATGATTTGCACTTTCTGAAATTTTGTGTTATGCACGTAATAAATGCTAGAGTCAGATTATGTTTTATATTTGCAAAGTTTTGTCTTTTGCGTAAACTAATTTGCTTTCCTTCGTTCTTTATAAACGTAAACGTTGTGCATATTTCTTTACCAAATATTTATAAAAATGGGATAAATTAGTTTATTAATTGGAAAGGTAAGCTTATTTTAATGGCATATTACTTACGCAAATTATTTTCAATATTTATGTAGTGCAAATTTTTAATTATTTCGACAACGCACACAAACTTTGTTGCTTTTCAGTATTTCTATATTTATTAAACAATTTCCATTTCTTTAACTATTAAACTATTGGTGGCATTGGAATTCCTTTAAGATATGGTGGAAAAGGTTGGTTATAAAGCTATCTCAAAGGTTTCTATTGTTCATACCTAAAATGCAATAATCTTATGATATAAATCCCAGTTCTCTGAAAATGTTTCGTAAAAAAATACGAGTAAATACTCTTTGTATGATACTTGAGTATATATCTGATATATTGCCTCCTGCAAATCATTCTAGTTTTGAGTTTTATTTTCAGAATTGTTTATTCAGTAACTGCGGATAAAGTCACTTGTCGTCACTTTGTTTTGCCTTTGAGATTATTTTTCTCCTTTCCTATGACTTATTCAAGGCCAGATACAAACAAAAGAATGTGTTTTGCAGTTAGTTAGTTTTAGCCACCATTTTTGGGATACTATGTTTATATTTCAAGAACATTTCTACTTTTGCTACGACCTCTCCCTTTCTTCATTAATTAACTAATGAAATTATTCATAATTTAATTAACTAATGAAATTATTCTCATAAATTATATTATATTATTCATATTTTATTGTTAAGATGTCTAGTTATAGTTTTCAAACGGAAAATAGGAAAATTAAACTGCCTGAGGAACTGAAAATATAATTCTGTTGTAGCATTTGTGTTAACCTATTTTATCCCACTGTCCTATTTAAAGGACAGCTAAAAAATAGCATATAGAAATCAGTATTTGCTTGGTGCGAATATTTTGCCAGCTGGAATATGTAGGGATATGTATTAGTATCTGCTAATGTGAGTTGTGTGTCTCACCCCTCCTCCTTCCTCTGGACATTTTGATTATTCATCGCATTAGTGGGCGTGGTTTGTATCATCTCTTTTGTGGTCGCAGAATTCGTTTTCAGTTTACTTTGGACACTTGGCTGAGCAATTTGTATGTGAAAGTAATCTTTCCTTATCATCCTGGTGGTTAATGAAAGCTATATTATTATTAGGTGAGTTTTAGCGCATTGTTTTTTAACTGTCCTCTAAATAGGACAATGGGACGATAAGTATGCACTTGACGCATTCTTTCTCTCTTTTATAAATCAGAGTTAAAACAAATTCTAGTGCTTCACCCCTGCTGAGTTATGTCAGTGCAAAGGTTTCTGAAGTTAGAGGAAGCATTAAAATTATTCAATAGTTTGAATTCAGATGAGAGCAACGTTGAAATTGCTGTGTTACCACCAGATGCCAATGAACTAACTGACGAAGATGAGGGGATGAGAATGAAGTAAATACTGATGAGATTATTGTAAACGATGTTCCGAGGTCTCTGGAAGTTATAACTGGAGATGGTTTCCAGCCTGAACCGTCCACAAGTTCTAGTGTTTCTACAACAAAGAGTAGAAAAACAGCTAAAAGACACCAGTCATCTTGGATAAAGAATAAATCACCGCAATATACAAAATGGAAAACACAGGAGGAATCAATTGCAAGTGACTTGCTCAAACAGATGGAAACTGCATTGAAAGATAAAACTCCACCAGAGCTTTTTGAGCAGTTTTATTCCAGTGAAGTCTACGATCTCATTGTAAAAGAAACTGTGTGATATGCAGCAGATGTAAAATACGAACACGATTTCTTGACCACTGCTAACGAAATACGTGTTTTTATTGGAATTTTGCTTCTAACTGGTTATCATTCAAATACCTGCGAACGTGACTACTGGTCAGATGCTGAAGATCTTGGCATTACCATGGTGAAAAATGCCATGTTACGAAACCGCTTCCAAAAGTTGAAATCTTATTTACACTTTGTGGACAATGGAACTGTCAGTCAGCATGCCCAGGATCGATCCTTCAAAGTAAAAGCTTTGTTTGCCGTACTCAATAATAATTTTATGAAATTTGGACACGTCGTTGCAAATCTAAGCATTGATGAAATGATCGTCATATATTATGGTAGGAATAGTCTGAAACAGTTTATCCGAGGCAAGCCTACACGGTTTGAATATAAACTTTGGGCTCCGTGGGAGCGCGGGATATTGTTACAATTTTTCTCTCTATTGCGGTAAAGAATCTGATGCAAGAAATGCTACTCCTCTTGGTACTAGGGTTGTGAGGAAACTAACAGAGAATATTGTGAATCCTTAAAGCTACACTTTATATTTTGATAACTTTTTTACTAGCACTGATCTTTTGAAAAGTCTTGGTGAACAGGGTTTTCGAGCTACAGGAACCATACGAGAAAATCGGATAAACCACGAGTGTCCTTTAGAAGAATCTAAATCTATGCGGAAGAAAGAAAGAGGCACGTCTGATTTTGCATTTGACGAGAAATCTGAAATTTTTCTGGTGCGATGGAATGATAATAGTACTGTCACTGTTGCTACAAATTTCAGCACTTTAGAACCATTCTTTGATGTGAAGAGGCGAGTGAGAGGACACAAAGATAAATTTAACGTGAAGATGCCAAATCTGATTAATTCTTACAAGAAACATATAGGCGGTGTGGATCACCACGACTGGTTGGCTGGACTTTATTTCATTAAAATTCGTGGAAAAAAGTTTTACTGGTCAATTTTTATACGTTCTATGAATATGGCTATGGTAAACGCCTGGGTAATTCACAAAACTCTGAACACAAATGAAGCTCTAAACTTGAAGGAGTTCCGAAGAGCTGTAACAACAGTTTATCTAAAAAAACTGTGATAAGAACAAAAGATAGATCTAGGATCTGGACTGTATCTTCTGATGCAAAGAAGACATCCGTAAAGATAGTGTTAGTCATTTTTTACTAAAGCGAGAAAAACAGCGTCGTTGTCAAAGAGAGGGCTACGAAGGAAAACCAAAAACATACTGTGGCAAATGTGACAAAACACTTTGTCAGGCTTGTTTTGGACCTTTCCACCAAGAATAGAGTGAAATTCATCTGAAAAGTAAACTGCCTTGTAAATAAGAAAGTATTAATCAAATAAAGTAAAATTTGTACACGGAAATCACTTTTCATCAATGAAGAGAACACTAAAAACACGTAAGTGCAAATTTTATCCCCTTTATCCCAGTGTCCTATTTAGAGGACGAGGCAGATTTCTTATATAAAATATAAAAAATTTCCTAATTTTGTTATATTTAGTTTGCTTAAGTTTAATTAACCTTAGAAAATATCATTCTTTTCAAATTTGAACAAAATAAATAAATTGGGATAAAATGGGTTAAACAAAGTTGAGTAGCCTCAAAATGTTTGCATTTCATAGTAGATAAGCTATTTCAACGGTCAACAGTTTTTAATCTAGTATTCCTCTACATTTTGGACTTCTTAAATAACAACAGCATTTCGGAATTATAAATTACCAAATGGGATCATAAGGGTCTACAAAAACTTCGATGATGTATTCCTACAGGAAGAAATATTTGGAATTGGGCTAAAGATGAGATCACGTAATCAAAAAACGAGCCAAAATTAATGACGAAGTGTAATGGGAAGCCCTCACATTTTTCAATCCGAATTCCTTTTCGACAGTGGCAACGAACCTTCGCAACAGAAACTTTAAATAGATGGGGGTTGAAGGTGTTGTGTAGCAAATTCACTTAATTATTTAATTTACAACTTATTAAAATTTATTTATTAATATTCTAAATTTATGCTACACAACGTGTATTTTATTTAATATTTGTGCTAATTTGTTTAATTTTAATTGGGGCTTTTTTTACTTAAGATTTGTACGTTCTTTCCACTCGTTATTCTGTGAACACGCTGAAACACACAATGGAATAAGGTGCTTTTCTACGAAATAATCTTGATTTTATATTTCTTAACTTAAGTTTACCCATTTTTAACTTATACCACAAGAAGCAGAAAAATTAGCTCTTCCATTTAAGATCACTTTCAAGACTCTAGCCTTAACAGATTTTAAGATACATTAAGTTATTTAACTGAAATTTCCATTTTTCGTTGAATTTAACTGAAATTTCAACCACAACCTTACGCTTACCAGTTTTTTCAACCACAACCTTACGCTCTGTAAAATTTCTCCTTTTCCCTAGGTTAAACTAATGTGACGAATTCGAAAGACAAGAGGTAGCATAACTGGTTTTATTTCGGTTTTTTTCTAGGCTATATACAAAAAAATAAAAATAAATAAACTTATAAAATATTGTTCTCACAGTAGGGTGAATAAGTTCCTGTTTAGATGAAAGTTCTTGTTTAGAAATAGATCAAGATTAGGATAGGCTCAAGATGAGGCTGTCTTGAATAAATCAAATCTCTAAGCCGGTGGTTGCCGGACTGAGCTGTGTCCGAGCAGAAAGCTCTTCGTAAGGTAGCGGCGAACCCGGCTACCTGGCTGTATCTCATGCAGAGATATTAGTATCGCCCTACGCAGAGCAAAAATTTGCTCGTGGCCGAGCTGGGAAAGAAAACCGAGAGAAGGTTTCTCTCTCTACTTACTGCAACTAACTATCATTTCTCTCTCTCTATCTCTCTGGAGCTGCGTTCCATGATTTTGTTCAAATTCTCCTGGGCGTGTGGGAAAAATTTCCAGGATCCTTATTTGTCCGTAATTTTTAGAATCGCCTCTTAATTGGCGAGAGATTTGATTAGCAACTGGATATGATGAAGACAGCCTGGAAAAAGTCCGTTGGAACTTTTAGATTCCAACTGGGGGTCTCAAACCGGGTGGTCTCAGACACTGAACCTATAAACTGATGAAAGGGAACTGAACAATGTCTCCATTCGAACAACTATAACAAGAACAAAAGCTGAGATTGTTTTGTGACTTCTGGTCACTTCCTCTTTCCGAGAATTCGCTAATTAATACTCTGTCCGTGGGAATTTTCGAGGTGGTCATTCCTTTTTTCTCAGAACTTTGTGGTGGTCGATAAAATAGCTTAAGACGTTACACTAAACACACATTTAAGCATCGCCAAACGATCTCAAATCTAAAGCAGCTGCGAAGGCCAAGCTAGCAACCTAACTCACCTCACCGGAAAAATCTTACAGTGTAGTCAAGAGAGATACTAGAAAACTTGCTAAAAAGCTGTGTTTTTTCCAATTCCTCCCCCCACAATTTCAGCACAATGAAAAATGGAAATTTCAGTGAAATAATCTTAAAATCTGCTAAGTCTTGAAAGTTTAGAGTCTTGAGCGTAACCTTAAATTAAAGAGCTAATTTTTCTGCTTTAAATGGTATAAGTTAAAAATGGGTAAACTTAAGTTATATAAAATGAAGATTATTACGTAGAAAAGCACCTGATTCCATTGTGTGTTTCAGCGCGTTCACAGAATAACGAGTGGAAAGAACGTACAAATCTGAAATACCAAAACCCCAAGTAAAATTAAACAAATTATCACAGATATTAAATAAAATACACGTTGTGTAGCATAAATTTAGAATATTAATAAATAAATTTTTTAATAAGTCATAAATTAAATAATTAAGTGAATTTGCTACACAACATAGATCACTCACTCTCTTTTACCCCTCGCCTCATCTTCCAGTGTGACTGCGGAAGCGAGAAGAGGTGTGCAACCCAAGTTCCCCTTTAACTTTTCATCTCGTGCTTTTCTCATGAGCTATTTCTTTCGTTCCTGTGTTCAAACGCGTTACCTTAAAAGTGCTCTGATTTCCTTTCTTCATCTACTACTATGACCTACTGATGCCCTGCTCGTCAAGGAGATTAATTAGCGTATGCTGTGATGTTATCGATTTATTTCCAATCAGAATGTTTCATACAAGGCTGTGCGGTCAAGCCATGTCGGCGGTTATTTCCTCATGCTTGTTCAAGTGACCTTATTCTCCATAGCTGCAGAGTAATGAATAGCTGGATATTTTTCACACTCATCATGTTTTAAATTTTCTTGCTAACATGACATCAAAAATTTACGCTCTTATTTCGTGATCTTATCAAGTTCCCATTTTTTGCTTATGTGTGTAACTCGTGGATGAATTCTCGAAAGCCATTGTGACTTGCGTAATGATTTTTTGTAATGTCAATATTTCTGCTGCAATTCTAGGATTGAAATAAAACTGTTTTTCACAGGTAAAATTTGTATTGAGTGTGTTTTGGTGCTATACATGGATAAGTCCATTTCATTTTATTTAATATTAGGTTACCAAGACACACCACAAAATTATCTTCATATATACTTATTGAGTATATTGCGATCACAACGTTAGTACTATTATCTCAATATTCTTACCTTTGGCTTACTACACGCAATTAATTTAATTCTACTTCACCTTAACATTTTCACTGCTTTATTATAACACTAAGAGATTGCATATTAAGAAACTGTCAGATAATAACAGCTAAATGTAACGATGCATCATCTTGTTGAAACATTACATTTGACTCGTGATTTTCTAGCTGCATTAATAGAAATAACTGTAGATATCGAGACACGTCACCATTACCAGTACCTTTCCGCAAAGAATAATGTCCCGGGATATCCTAGAAATGAGAAAAGGCATCAGAGAGGTAATTCTTTCCTTTCAAACTGTGTACTGAATTCAGAGTTTTCTGATCGCCATTATCAGCTTCGTCATTGATCTCCACTTCGAAAGTAATGTTAACTAGCTTCGATGATAGAAAAACCGGTTACAGCCGAGAACATCGTTGCAAATACATACGGGACGAAAACGTCGCGGAGAAAACAACGCAAGGTGAAAACATCGTGGTACAAAGCTCGTGGGAGAAAAGAAAGCAAAGAGAAAACATTGCAGTTGTAAAGCATCGTGGTAAAAAACAAAGCGCTTAAAAAACTCCGCAGTTTAAAACCATCGTCGTCGAAAATATCGTAGTAATAAATAGAGTACCTACAAATCATCGCATGTCGATAACATCAGACGCATACGTTTTTGAAATCCCATACTGACATGATAAATTTTCATGTCAGTATGGGATTATTATGTAGCTGATTTTCGTCATCGACATCCAAAAAACTGATTGCAGGCTATGCACAAAAATGTTGACTAAAATTTAAGAATAAACGGAATCAAAATAAAATATCATTTTCACTTAAACAATATCTGATTAACAAATGTGAAACAAAATAGTTTGATAATTAACTAAGGAGTTTTTATAGAGGTGATCTCATGCAGTTATTTATCTTACTTTTGTTAAGAATATTTAGACTATATATATCATAAAAAGTATCAACAAAACTTTATGAAAAAAGGTTACTTTATAACCTTTGTTAATTAACTACTTAAAGTTAAAATTAAGTTCTATAACTTGCATTAATTTTCTACTCAGTAATTTTTGCAACTCAGTAATTTGCAATTTTCGGCGGACACCGAAATACCTACAGTGTAAAGAACTAGCAGAGACTTATGAAATCTACTTGGTCTGGAATTAGTATGGATGAAGATGAATGTACTTATTATAATCATCAAGTCATTCACAGTATATTTAAGTGCAAACCAAATCTAGTTGACTGTAATGACGTTTGAAGAACACTTTCCTGGATTCAACCAAAGTTTTCCTTTATTAATATTCTCATTTCTTATTGGTGTAGAAAATTATCGTTTTCTTCAACCTACTTAAATCAATGATGGATATCTGAAGATACGTAGCTTCCATAAAATGTTATGTAATAATGTAATAATCCCGTGCAGTGACAACGAACTTCGTTAGGAAAATTTAAACAATACCTTCTCAAGAGAAATCGTCGCTTTGAAATTGGACATGTTACTGCCATAACAACATTA